TTTTCTTTCCCTATTCATTTGTTGTGTCTCCCAAAATGTGTAATACACATGCTTTTAGTCCCGGTGTCCTCATAAGAGGACATCTATGAAATCAACCTCCTGTTTCGTAACAGGAAGTCATATTTTGATTTGAAACCCCATAACATTTTTCTGAGATGTTGAATATTATCATATTTCCATAAGAGTGTCACTAAATTAATATCAGACATTTTTGAAGACCAAGGAGAGGGAGTGGTCATGGTGAAACATCCAAACATTTAGTATCTCTGAAAAGCCCTGAATGTGCTCTGTACAGGACATCCAGACTTAAAACTGTGGCATGTATAGTCTCAGAGAAATTCACTAAAATATAATGTCCTCATATGAGGATGCAGGGTCTCAGGAGGTTACTGATGATGAACATAAAGATCATTCACATTATCATCATTATCAATGTGGTAACATTCAAAGCTGACCGTATCAACCCCGTGTCCTTACCGATTCCTCACTGTGTTACAGGTTTGGCAGTAAGGAGGAGTACATGTGCTTTATGAATGAGTTTTTAGAGATGGAGTGGGGCTCCATGCAGCAGTTCCTGTACGAGATCTCCAATCTCGACAGCGTGAGCAACGCAGCTGCTTTTGAGGGCTACATCGACTTGGGAAGGGAGCTCTCGATCCTGCACAGTCTTCTGTGGGAAGTCATGGCACAGCTAAGCAAGGTAGATGCTGTTTGATTGTCTAGATAAAGATGACTGTGATTGTCTGCTTATGTTTGCAATCGGTCATCAGTCTGTTGTTACCGTGCCAAAGGATGCTATCATCAAACTCGGACCATTGCCCCGCCTTCTGAATGACATCAGCATGGCCCTTCGTAACCCTCACCTCCAGCGACAGCCCAGTCATCAGACGGACAGACCGCCTCCAGAGAGACAGACGGAAAGACTGCTCTCCAGGCCCAGCTTCAACAGGGGCATCTCGTCTGAGTTCCAGAACATCATGATGAGAGACCGCAACAGGTAGAGTCTGCTGTCTTTATGTGTGTCACATCTGCAGGAAGTATTTTCCAAATCCTAGTGAGCTGCCTACTTAGTCTGCATTTTTAGGCACCTTATCCAAACTTGAATTGAGGTGCAATGGGTGCTATAAATAAAAAAAATGTGCAGAATAAATAAAGAAATGTACAGAATTGAATTTTTTTTCTATTCTGCTTTCTATTTTTAAACAATTTTATTCTATTTTACAGAGACTATTTTAATCATTAATTTTGGTTTTAGTACAGTAACTATATTAAAAATGTAATTTAGTTGTCTTTTATAAAATCACATTTGTATTATATTTTATATAAAGTCTTTTATCACACAGTATAAAAACATTTAAAATACAATGTATACATATTATAAAATATAATAAAATTATGTAAAATATCGTATTTAAAAAAAGGGTAAGAGTATACATTTTATTAATAAATTTTTATAAATACATTTTATTTTATTTTCATTCGTTTAGTTTAGTTGTCGGAATATTTAATTGTGCTTTCTCATTTTTATGGGAATTATTTCAGTATAACATTTAGATTTTTTTCCCCGTCACTTAAAATGAATCTGAAAAAAAGACTGATAATTGAATAACATTGTTAAATATAATCTTTAGCGAATATCAAAATGAATATTCTTCTTTCACACTATTTATTTTATTTTATTTTGTTATTATTTTAATGCTTCTATTCTATAAGCATTATAGATAGTACTATCTGTAATGCTTGTATACCTTATTTTATTTCAGATATTTGCCAGCATTTCTCATTTTTGTTTAGTTTAACTTGAAGTATAAAATAACAAACTAAATAAACTAAAACTAACAAATAAATACTATATAGACATTAAAATACATAATAAACATGTCAAAAACACTAAAAAGGTAAACGTTTTATTAAAACTTTTACTAAGATTAAAGTGAAAACAAAAATATTTAAAAAATCTAATTCAAAATATTAACATAAACGGTAATAATATATCAGTGATACTAAAATAACACTGTATCAGAGTTTATTTTATTAATAAATTAAATAACTACAAATCAAGAATGACAATATCACATCATATGGCTCACTAGGTTTTGGAACTGAGCTTAAGTGAATGTCTTAAGGAATATTGCTTGTGGAGAAAATGAGCGTCGATATGATTTTCCATCTTAACTTTCTCATATCTAACATAGTTCAGTCGAGATCACTCGCCTGCCCTCTCCAACCTCTGCCATGTCCAGTGGCGGCGCCCCTCCGTCCCGGGCCGGATTGGGGGGGTTTGCGGACCGCGATCATCCTAACCGAGCCTCATCTAAAGACGTTTTCTATGTTGCCCGTCCCCCGTTGGCCCGCTCTAGTCCAGCGTACTGTACTAGCAGTTCTGATATTACTGATCCAGACCCAAAGGTAAGTCCCATAGGACAGTGCTTCTGATTGGGTGGGGGGTTCTGATTAAATAATAACCCCTTTCATTTAGAAATCTGTCATGACTATGGTCAGTGCTGTCTGGTCCGAATTCTCATGTGAATAACAGCTCGCTCCCTAGCACACGTTTCGCCAGCTTTTCTGAGGGTTGGCTTTGTTCCTGTGGGAGAAGGAAGCGCCACTGACCTGCTTACTGCAGAGTCACATACCATCCAAGCATGGAAAGAGGGCTACGAGATGATGTGGGTGCAGTCAATACATATGATAGAGATTCTTACGTTAATCTTGCATCACCATTTGGGATTCAGGGTCGTGACATACCAAAAGTCAACAGTTCACCCAAAAATTGAAATGCTGTGAGTATTTACTGCAAAATTGCATCACATGCAGTTTTCATAGAGACAAATGCTGTCGAAAAAGCACTATAAAGGTAGTACATATTATTTGTGCACTATATTCCAGGTCTTCTTCAAATTTAAGATTTAACCAATTTAATTTAATTAATTAAACTTTTTTTTTTAAATAATTACATAAAAATGGCACCTGCCATGTTAGGTTTTGCCTCAGTGCTATATAAATTCATTTGACTGTTGTAGTCTATTTCAGAGGAACTTGATTTAGCTTCAAAATATAAGTCTCAGAATTTTGAATTTTGATTTTTTTTTTTTGCTACAAAGGTTAAATTAAATTCATTAAAATTAAAATTTTCCCTGTAAAAGCTGTTGAAAATGATTTCTTGTTATATTATATACTTGCTAAAATATAATATTATGTTATTTAAATATAATATATAGAATATAATATTTGATTAATTAAATATAATTTTCTTTGACATTATTGCTAGGACTTTTCTTTTGTTATTTGTTTTATTTATCATAAAAATGATTATTTTTAAGATGCTTGAATATAATCTAAAAAAACTTATCTTTGTATAAAATATAATCAGCAAATTATATATTTTTTTCCAATAGAAATATTTTACACAAACAATAAACAATATACAATTACAGTTAAATGTAACTTAATGACATTTAAATTAATCATATTAAGTTCATATGACTTAAAATCTATTTAAGTCATATTAACTACTTTTATGGTGCTTTGTGGTGTTTTTTCTATTTTGATTTCAGTTAAATTAATTTCTCTTAATAGCTGATGCTAATTATTTATTAACATTTGTTTAAATATTTAAATAATTATGTCATTTATCTTGACATTATTACTTGGACAATTGGGTGTCTTTTTTATTTTAATTCTTATTTATTTATATATTTTTTTTTTATATGCTGTAAAAAATGAATGTCAAAAACTTACCTCTGTATAGACTACGATCAGTAAATTCTATGTGATTTTTTTTAAATGGAAATATTTTACACAATGTAACAATGACACATTTAAATGAGCCATTGAAAAAAATCTATTTAAGTCATATGAATTCATTTTTATGGTGCTTTTGTTGTTCATTCTGAATTCAGTTAAAATTATTATATTCTATAAAAGCTGAGCGTAATCATGTAGTAAGTAACATTATTTAAATATTATTACACATTTTGACAATGCTAGGACAACCTGGCTTTTGTTTTTATGCATTAAAAGCATAAGAATAAAAATAAGCACATTTTTAAGCATAATAATTCTACTTCCTGTGAAAAAAAAATAACAGCATATGGGTTTTTAACGACATGAGTAAATAATAACAGAAATGAATCAATTTTTGGGTGAATGATTTCCTTTTAACCCAAGTTAATACACACATGCTGTCAAGCCACGTTCATAACCGGCCACACCTGCTGCGCACGGCAGGTATCTGCAGCGTTCTCGCCCGTAGGTTCTGCTGTAGGTGTTAATGAAAATGTTTCTATGATGGACCTCCAGGACTCAAGAATGAACAGCGTCTCTAACCTGCAGTCTATGGGGGACATGCTCAACTCTTCCCAGGCCTCGATTGCCGGCCTCGGCAGCTACGGTGGGCTCGCGGGCTTGGGAGGAGGCCTCGGAGGCCAGCTGCGTGCCGGAGGGCGTATGTCGGCCGGATCCGGGGGTTCCAACATGTCCGGGGGTCTGAGGTTGAGCCAGCTGAGCCAGATGGGAACCACCACCGACTCGCTGTCCCAGCAGCAACAGCAGCAAGCCGCCGCGCTCCGCTACCCCCTCTCCTTCCAGAACCCTCTGTTCCACCTGGCTGCTGACGGGCCTCATCTTCACCACCAACACAGTCGAGCTCAACCTCCTCCTCCTCTCCTGCTGGCCCCAGAGCCAGACGCCTCTCACCCAACTTACATACCGCAGTTCGCCCATGGCGGTTTCTCCCGAAGCGAGGACCTCTCCATCCTCAGACCCGGCCCTCATCTGGGTCAGCCGAGCATCATTCACTCCCACAGCTACAGCGACGACTACAGCCGCCATAACCAGAGCGAATACGGGCGACGCCAGCTCTCCATGCACATGCAGGTATTTTCTTGACTGTTTTTATTGACTTTTGCATCGTTTTGATCTTAATGTATTAGTTATTCCACAAAAGTACCATGATCAAATGCTACAAAGAAGCTCAAGAGCATCATCATCTTCATCAGGAAATTAAATGGGTTACATATATATAAATAAATAAAATATATATATATATATATATTAGGGCTGCATGATTATGACAAAAATCATAATTGTCGATTATTCCCTTGAAATTGTAATTGCGAATTGAAATTGTAATGATCACAATTTACATTGAATGATGTGTATACCATTGTTTAAAACCCTTAAGATAACATGTAGAAAGAGAAAAACGCATCTCAAGCACACAGAATAACATAAGTGGACTTTGAACGATTAATTGCCACTTTGAACGATTACGTAATTGTGGCATCCATAATTGTAATTGCGATTAGAAAATCGATTAATTGTGCAGCCCTAATATATATATTTCAGCTATAAAACAGCTTCTCAGAAACCAGTAGCATCATTAATTGGCTCAAGTCACTTCATGTTGATTCAATTCAATTCACTAACAGCCAGTGTCAATTACAAAACAAATTTGATTCAGATATAAAGCAGCTCTACAGAAGATCATAGTGTCATTATTCAACTTAATTTAGTTCGGTGTTGATTCAATTCATTTCAATAATCGTGCAAAGTTCATCAATTATGTAATGACTTCAAAGCAGATTTACAGAAGACAGTGTCATTACCCAGCTCAGTTCAGTTCAAGTTTTGTTCTAATTTGATAATGCGAAATTGATAAGATTTCTGAATGTTAATTACCTTTTAAGCCCCAACTCAGCAAGCCAAAGGCAACAGTGGCAAGGAACCAAAACGCAGGTGACAGTAGTGAACAAAAGGAACCAAAGAAGTTAAACGTTAAACATCACAGATTCACAAACTTTTGTTGGCGTTTTGTTTTGCTTAGTGCTGCTTATACTGAATTTCTGGGTAAAATGACTTAAAAATGAGTGGCTGAAATGGTGGTTGTTATTTAAGCATGTGTCTCATGACCAGGAGCAGCAGCAGATGGCAGGCATGGCATCGCAGACGGGCACATCTCATTCATCGCTCGCCACGCCACCTTCCACCGTTCAGCCTGCCCGCCAAAGCTCCATGGCTCCTCCCACGCAGCGCATGAAATCTCAACCCTCGCATCAGCTTTCCGTGAGTTCTGCCGCCGCCGCCGCTCCTGCGGGCAAAACCAGGCCACAGAGTGGAAACCTGCTCCAGTCCCCAGAGTCTGGCTTCGGGGGCCGGCAACAGGGTCCTCGGCAGCAGCTGTCCGTCAAAGACAGCACCCCGCCTGGCCTGCCGCATCAGCAGAGCTCCACCAGAGAGAGCCAGGGATCCCAGGGCTCTCAGGGCGGAACGCCGCAGTCCACACAGCAATCCAAATCGCATCAGGAACGGCAGCAGATCCAGCAACAGCATCTGCTCAAGCCTACCATGAGCAAACAGGTGTTCCAATCAGAAACCATTGTTCACTCTGCTATCAGTGTGTGTATGTGCGTTTGTGTCTAGTATTTCTTCAGCTGGATATTTCTTTTTGTGTGTGATCTCTATAAAATTATTTATAAAAATCCTTTTCAAGTCATTTGTGATGGAAAAAATGTGGGCTGAACTGTTTTCAAGTTTATTAAAGGGCAATAATTTAACAAATTATAAATATTTAATATATAAAATATTTATCACACATAAAAACGAGGATTTTTTTAAGGTGGCAACTTTATAGTCAATACAACTAGTAAAACAAACGAACGCCACAATTTATCAGTCTGAATGGAAAACGTAGTCATAAATGTGGTTATTTAAATATTTATTTCACTATAAAAAGATATAAAATGCCACACAGAGAGTTTTTCACAATTATTCTTTGCTGATTTTAATAATATTTTGAAAGTTTATTAAAGCCATTTAATATCTTGTTTGCTATAATTTTTACAAATTCAAAAAAAGCTATATTTATGACCCACAAAAATGAGAATCTCATTAACACTGCAAAACACCTTATATTTATAATAAATACATCTACTAAAACAAACAAAAAACACTATCATTTATTCATCTAAATGAAAAACATAGTATTAAATCTCATTATTTAAATACGTTTATTTTGCTACAAGAAGATGCTGCACAGGGACTATTTTTGGGCAGATTTTAGAGAAAAATCATCAGAATTCTGTGAAATGGATACAAACCTGGTCAAATGTGTTAAATGGAGCTGAAAGCACTATAATTTAATTGGTAATAGTAGCATAACAAAATTAATCAGCATACTTAATAATTTTCTTTAAAAAAAAATTTAACTTTTATTCAGCAAAGACACGGTAAATTGATCAAAAGTGACAGTACAACATTTATAATGTTACAAAATTCAAATTTCAAACTTTCTATTTATCAAAGAATCCTGAAAAAATGCATCACAGTTTTCACAAAAATATTAAGCAGCAACAATAAACTTTCACCATTGATAATAATTAGAAATGAGCAGCAAATCAGCATATTAGAATGAATTCCGAAGGAACATGTGACACTGAAGACTGGAGTAATGATGCTGAAAATTCAGCTTTGCATCACAGGAATAAATTTCATTTTACGATATATATTTTTTTAAGTTGAAATAATATTAAACAAAAACATCAACGACCTCAAACTGTGTAGTCTAAATATTAAAGATGCAACCCAAACGTCTGTTTCCACACTTACATGCTCTTGTGTTCTTTTCCTCAGGGCTCTTCCCAATCTCCATCCACTCTCAACCCTTCGACCCCTGCCTCTGAGCGAACGGTCGCCTGGGTGTCCAACATGCCCCATCTTTCTGCTGACATAGAGAGCTCCCGCATCGACAGAGAAGAATACAAACTCAAGGAGTATTCAAAGAGCATGGACGAGTCGCGTCTGGACAGGGTGTGTTTCTCTCTTACTCTACTAGATGTGTTCACATCGGGGTGAAAAAAGAGATAGTTCACCCAAAAATGAAAACGGTGTCATTTACTCACCCTCATGTTGCTCCAAACCTGAATGAGTTTCTTTCTTCTGTTGAACACAAAAGAAGCTATTTTGAAAAATGTTGGTAACCAAATAGTTACCAGTAGCCATTAACTTCTATAATATGGAAGAAAATACTGTGGAAGTCAATTTGGTTCTCAACATTCTTCCAAATATCTTCTTTTGTGTTCAACAGAAGAAAGAAACTCATACAGGTTTGGAGCAACTTGAAAGTGAGTAAATGATGACAGCATTTTCATTTTTGGGCGAACTGTCCCTTTTTGACTTGTTTTCAAACTGTTTCTTGGTCCAAACTCGAGCTTGATTCTTGTCTCTGTCCTTATGCAAATGCACCACAAGACTCTCAGTTGACTGCAGAGTGCACTTGTGTCTCCCACCTCAGCACACAAGTGTCAAGGAAATGCATATCATGTCTTTCACCTCTGTAACAGATGGTGCTGGCAGCCTCATTTATGCATTATTTAAATATCAAATGAGAATGAGCAGCCTTTTGCGGCAAACAGACTCCTGGAGAGAGCAGCATGGGCTTTCAATCAGTACGTCCTGGCTGCTCTTGACCCTCTGTTCTCCCCTGTGGAAATTTGTGTAGAGGTGACACGCAACCTTTTTTCATTGTTTCACAGTTGTACCTATTAAAGGACAGTTTCATATTCAGCTATGAATCAGCATTTTTTTTGTTTGAAAAATACATTTTGCTAGATTGCATTGACTGTAGTTGCCCACCTAGGCAACATTTTCATGCATGAATGACACATTCCTTGCGGAAAAGCTGTAGGGAGCAAAATCATGCTTGCTTTCTCATTACTGAAAAAACCACACTGTTTCGAAAACGGCTGAGCTACAAAAATACGAAAACAGTCATTATTTACTCTTAGTCTTTATTTCTCACAAAAGATGAGTTTTTGAAGAATATCGTGCCTTCAAAATTGTCCCTTTTATATTTTACAGAAGAAAGAAAGGATTTTGGAGTAAGATTTAAGTAAATGATCCCAGAATTTTTGTAGTGCCACCAGGCCCGGTTCTTGACAGCTATAGAAGGGTGGGCTGGCAGATATACTGGGTGGGCATTTTTTAGTCGTCATATCATCAAATAGTCTAGAAGATATTTATACTGTAGATATTGCTGTATTAACTATGCTATACTAACCATATTACAGTATATGTACACTGAAAAAAGCTTTCATGGGCACCCTAGAATATCATGCACTCTCACAGCAAAATGTTTTTTTTTTCTTTATTGAATAGTAAAAAAAAAAAAGCCCTCTTTGTTCTCTTTCTCTGGATCATTGTTTCTACACTGATGACTCTTTTCAACTAGCTTTTTTATTGATACCAGACAAGGCCATAATCATGTCTAGAACATTGGAGGGACCAATTGTTTTGAGGAAAATATAAAGACCAGACCACTATGGTAATGGTATTTATTTAAAGAAACTAAATAAATAAAGGATTTAAATGGATTTAGGGGAATAAATTAAAAGAAGAAAAAAGAAGAGTAAAAGAACAAGAATAAGAATTTTTGTAAAGTAATCAATCTGAACTGCAAATAAGATTTTTATTTTCAAATATGCACCCATTCAATTTCAGTTGTATTGCTGAAAACA